AAATAATGCAGTAGGAACCGAGGTGATGTTTGCTAATAAAAATATTGCGACTCGGTTTTTAAGTAACAACCAAATGGAATTTATTTGAAAGAATATGAAATATTTTTTAGGAGAAAGCCTCCTGAGCTTCCTGGATAGAAAATCAAATGGGTGTCTATGACAGGACCAAACAAATGTCTACAATGGGGCCATATTATCTCCAATAAATGGTCAAACTATAAAACAAAATTTACTTCTTTATAAGAGGGCCGCACATTTTTTAGTTTAGTTTAGTTGAGAATACAATTTGGTAACCATTGGATTTTCGTCATCTTTTAGAGAACCAACCCATGACAAAAGAATTGAGCTCCCTTGATAGAAAATCGAATGGGCTTCTGTGAAAGGGCCAAAAGTCAAACTTTCTTTGTACCCTTTATTTGGCGGAAAAGTGGGTTTTATTAGATCTTCTTCACATTTAATAGAAAAATGTTTAATAAGACCAAAACGAGTTTTTTTGGGAAAAAATAAAGAGCTTCTATTAGGACTATCGAACTTCTAAAAAAGGCCTAAAATGGAGCCATATATAGCTTATAATAACACAAACCAATTAAACAAAATTTACTTCTTTGAGATTAAAAATTGGTATTCTTTAAGAGAGCCCCACTATCTTAATTGAGTTTGGTTTGTTTTGGTCAATTTTTTTTTTCTAATTTTGCCTCTAAAAAGGCGTCATATTATCTTCAAAAAAAGATCAACTAATATTGGAAAATTGTACTTGTTTTAGAAAATAATTTGGTATTTTTTGAATATTTTATCAAAGGAGTGTCAAAAGTCTAACAGAACAAAATTTATTTATTTGAGTGTTAAGCTGGTCTTCTATAAAAGGACTGCACTTTTTTAGTGGGTCCATTGGTTTTCCTACAAAAATTTCTATTAGAAGGTAAACTTCGCTTCTAAAAAATGTCTAAAAATTAGCCCTTTTATCTTCAATAAAAGTATCAACACTTCTATTCTATTTTATCTTTTATCAATGGAGGGTCAGTGCGCCGCTATAAAAACATATTTTCGTCTACTTTTAGATGATCATTTGGTACTGGTATTATATGATGTTTCTGTCTTTTTTAGAGAACCAATTTGATTTATTATCAAAGGAGGATCAATGGGTCTAATATTGAAGGACAATTTGGAATTATATTATAGCATTATTCGGTCTTCTATAAGAGGGCCATGTAACCTTTTCTTAGTTGACCACTTGGTCTTCTATTGGAGGATCATTTGATAAGCACATTTGGTCTTATCTATTATAAAAGGAGGATTAATGGCTCTGCTATTGAAGGAAAATTTGGTCTTTTATTAGAGGACTTTTCGGCGTCTTCTAATTTAATTTGATTATTCATAAAAACACCATTTGGCCTTCTATTAAAAGGAAACCCATTTAGTGTTCTATTAGAGGACCAATTGATCTACTATTAAAAGAGGATTAATGGGTCTACTATTGACGGACAATTTGGTATTCTAATAGAGCCTCATTTTGTCCGCTATTAGAGACCATGGGGTGTTTTATTTGTTGGCCATTTATACTTCTATTAGAGGACCAATTGATCTATTATGAAAGGAATATCAATGGGTCTACTATTGAAGGACAATTTGGTATTCTATTTGAGCATAATTTGGTCTGCTATTAGAGAACCTTGTGGTGTTTTCTTAGTTGATAATTTGGTTTTCTATTGGGTTTCAAATGGTGCTATTCTAATAAAGCACCATTACATCTTCTGCACTATTAGAGGATCAATTTACCTATTATCAAAGGAGAATCAATTCGGACTTATATAAGAAGACAATTGGGAAACCATTTAGTCATCCATAAGAGAATCATTCTTCCATAAATGATCAAGATCAATTGATCATTTATGGAAGGATAATCAATTGGTTTTGTATTCGAGACCTAACTGGTCATCTACTACGGCACCTTGTGATCTTCTTTTAGAAGATATTTGGATCACCTTACGGCCTTCTCTTAGAGCACACTTGGGTAATCTATTATATTATCATTTGGTCTTACCTTAAATTACCATTTGATCTTATATTTGATTGTTTTGGGTCTATGAGGGAACCATTGGATCTTCTATTTTGATCTAATATCAAAGCACAATAAATGGGTCTTCTGTTTAGGAACCACATTTTTTTCTTCTATTAGGGAACCTTTGGATCTTCTATTTTGATATAATATCAAAGCATAATCAATGGATCTTCTAATCGATAACCTTTTAGTTTTCTATTGGTGGACCATTTGGTCTTCCATTAGCGGGGATTTTGGTCTCATAATAGATCACCTTTTGGTATTCTATTAAAGAACGATTTAATCTGAAGGTACCTGAAGGTCTTCATATTGAAATTAGAAAGTCCTCCTATAAAATACTAGAAGGTCTTCTTTTGAGGAAACAAATGGTCAGAGAAGTACAGATAGTCATGTTATAGATTCTTTTAGAAGACCAAATAGACTTTAACTTAGAGGTTAGATGGTAGGGTTTCTCAGAAGACCAATAAGTCGCCTTTATAAGAAGCTGAAGGTCTTCATATATAACATTTTTTAATGAGATAATATGTCTATGAAGTCCAGATGTTCTTGAATTAGATCGCAAGTTCTTTGTATAGGAGACCAGTGTGGTATTCATATTGAAAATCAGAAGGTCCTCCAGAAGATCTTCTTAAAGGATACAATGGTCTAAGATATACAAATAGTCATGTTATAGATTTTAGTAGAAGACCAAATCCACTTCAGATTAGATGGTAGGTGCTTTCAGAAGACCAAAAAGTCATCTTTATACGTTGCTGAAAGTCTTCATACAGAAGATAAAAGGAACTTCTACAAAAGGTCTTTTTTAAGGAGAAAAAAGTCTTAATCAGGTCCAGATAGTCTTGTAATAAAATTGCAGATGTTCTTTTTAAGAAGACCAGTATGTCTCCTTGTAGAGTACCGGAAGATATTCTTATTGAAGATCATAAAGTCGACTGTTAGGCGACCAACAATTCTTTTTGGTAGGCAAGAAGTTATTCTTGTATAAGAGTTTTTAGGAAAGAGCTAAAGAGAAGATCTATTAGCGGTATGCTGGTATTCTATTAGCGCTCAATTTAGACTTCAATGTAATAACCAAATCGTTCTCTAATAGAAGACCAAATAATGCTTCATTATGAGAACAAATTGGACTAGATAAAATAATAATTGAGAGGAGGAGAAGAGGATGCCAAATATCTGATATTAAATATTAAGAAGTACAATTTATTATCAGACGCATTTGCCATCCTATTCTTCTCTCAATTATTTTTTGCTCTGTGTATTCTTATATGGAACACAAAAAAACGTATATTTTTTTAAAGCATTCAAAACCCTGCTGAACAAAAAAAAACATTTTATAATAATCTGTACATAATTATGTATATGCCCGTTTAACAAAAAACAAAACAATATAGAATAATGAACAAAATAATTGAAGGGGGATAGTATGAAAAGTTGGGGTGGTAGATCGGGGGTGTAACAATTTCATATTTTTTTGTTTTTATTTTGTTTTACATTTTAATAATAATATTTTCATTTTATATATAAGGATTTGACATTAGGAAAAAGGAGGTGTTTTGTTGTGGTTGTTGTTTTTGTTAGTGCCTTACATATATATAGTTATAAATATTATAAGATTTTGTTGTATCTTTTTTTATTTTATTTATTTAATAGTTTTCTTTATTTAAATTATTTTAAACTTAAATAATAATAAAAAAATTGATTTTATCATAGAAAATTGTTTATTATTTAATAATTAAATTGTTTGTGTGTTTTTTCCTTAATTAAGTTAAATTTCTTTTTTTCTGTTTTGCAAGAAAACAAAAACACACAATATAGTTTAAAAACTTAATGATGAAAAAAAAACAAAAACATAATAATAATGCTACTATACACAGGAGGAAAAACAAAAAAAAAATAATTAATTAATATTTAAAAAATAATAATAATTAAATTACAAAAAAAACATGTTTTCAACTTTGCTAATAAGTTTAGGTTTCATTCGTGTTATATATATTTTTTCATATTTATTTTCATATATAAATAACATGCAGCCATTTTCCTATAATTTCAGGTTTCCTTCAAGTATCCAGCGGTAATGGCTGGTGGCTTGGCTTCTTATTTCTCCAGGGGATTTGTTATATTTATTTATATTTTTTTTTTTGCTTTGCACTAATAGTAATAATAATATTTATATATATTTTTTAATTCATGTTTTGTTAAAGGGAGTTTTACTTCATTTTTTTCGTAATATATATTTTTTATTTTAAACATAAAAAAGTTATTTTTATTTTTTTGCTGGTTTTTTGTTTTATAAAAATGCATTTTTTTAAATATATATAATTTTTGTTTCACTTTTTTGTTGTTTGTTTATTTAAAGTTGTTCTTAAATTCAAAAAAACATACTATCATCAACATCATCTTCGTCATTTATTTTTTTACTTTTCTTTTTTGTTTTGTTTCTTAATTAAATTTAAATAAATGCTTACGCTGTGTATGTATGTATATGTGTGTGTATTTTTCATGTTTGCAGTATTTTTGTTTTTTTTTATTATATACTTATTTATGTATATGTATATATATAATTTTTTTAGTAAAAAAGAACAGACTATTGCACCTAAATGTTACGTAGTACGTGTGTGTGTGTATTTTTAATTTCATCAGTTTTCATAATATGCTGCTGCAGTGTTGGGTTTCTGGAAAAGAAAAACGATCTCTTTTTTTGTGTGTGTGTTTTGAACAACCAGGAAAAAAATAGTTGGGAGCTTGAATGGATGGATGGATAGTTGTTGTTTAGTTGGTTGTGTATTGTTGTTGTTTTTGTATAGAGGAAATGGCTGTATATCGCTCGGGTTTTCTTAATTTTTTCTTCGGCATTTAGGGTTTCATTTTGCTGGCGGTTCATCATTATAGATGTTCATGTTGACAACTTTTTGTTTTTTTAAATTAAAAACGCATTTTAGGGTCACCTTGTAGTGCTGCTACCGAAAAAGTCTTCTGTAAAACGGAAAGAGGAGGAAAAATTAGATTTTATTTAGCAGGAAAGATCACAAAATATTCGTAGGTATCCTGAAGGATACCTTATTGCAGACGAAGAAGGGTTCGTAATACCAGACCTGATTGTAGAAAACCAGAGTAAGATCTTCTTGGAGGTTAGAAAACAGGACTTCTAACGAAAAAAAGTCTTCTCTTCTAAGAGTATGAAGGTCTTCGTATTCGAAAGCAGAATGTCCCCCAATAAAAGACCAGAAAGTTTTCTTAACGGAGACAAAAGCTCTGGGACGTCTTGTTGTAAGAAGGATAATCATGAAGGTTTTGTTTAATGAGACAAAAGTCCAGATAGTCTTGTTATTAATTCTTGAAAAAGATCAGAAGGAGTTGTCTCAGTGATAGAAATCGGGTATTTTTTTCAAAAAACCAAAAGTATTATTTTAAAGGACCTGATGGTTTTCATATTGAAAAGCAGAAGGTAATCCTATAAAATACCAGAAGACCTCCTTTAAGGAAATACTCTTCATAAAGATTCTTGTAGAAAAGCAAAACATTTATTTTTAAAGACCTGAAGGTCTTCATATTGAAAATCAGAACCGAAAGTCTTCCTTAAGAAAATCTTCTTATTAAAGAAGTCAAAGTCTGGACAGATTCTTATAGATTCTTAAAAAAAATTAGAAGCACTTGTCTCAACCTTCTTTTAAAGGACATACAATTCTTATTTTTAAGCATCTTAAAATACCGCAATATCTTATTTTAAAGAGACAAAGGGTCTGAGAAGTCCAGATACTCTTCTTAAATATTCACGAAGAAGGCCATAGGGACTTTTCTCAGTTATTAGAATTCGGGTCTTTTTTTTTTGAAAATCAAAAAAGTCTTCATTTTAACGACCTGAAGGTCTTCATATTGAATATCAGAAAGTCATATTATTAAATAACCGAAGTTCCTCCTTAAGAAGGCAAATGATCTGTCTTCTTTTTAAGGATATGAAAACCTTCATATTGAAGACCAACAAATCTTTTTATTAAAGGAACCAAAGTCTGGGTAGTCCAGATTGCCTTGTTATAGATTCTTGAAGTAGACTAGAAGTACTTCTCTCAGTGATTAGAAATGAGGTCTTTTTTCAAAAAAAAAAAAATAATAATAATAATAATTTTAAGGGGCTGAAGGTATTCATATTGTAGATCAGAAGGTCCTTTTATAAAATATCAGAAGGTCTTCCTTAAGGAGGACAAATGGCCTGAATAGTCCAGATAAATTCCTGTATAAGACCAGAGAAACTTTTTCTGTTCAAAGGATCTGAAGGTCGGTCTTCATATTATAAGGTTCTCCTATAAAATATTAGAAGATCTTCTTGTGAGGAGATAGTCTTGTTATAGATTCTTATAGAAGAAGAATCTATAACGAGTTCCTCTCAGAGTTTAGATAACAGGGTTATTTTTTCAGAAGGCCAAAATGTAATTTTTATACGTAGTTGAAGGGGTTCATATTAAAGAACACACTTAAGATCACAGACCACTTATAAAAAATACTCTTTTTAAGGAGACAGATGGTCGGGAAAGTCTAGATAATTTTGTTAAGGATTTTTGTAGAAGACAAGAAGGATTACAAACAAAAAGTGGTCTGTCAGAAGGTCCTCTGATAAAAGGTCAGAAGGTATTCTAATAAAAGTTCCTATATTCTCGTTATGGATTCTAGTAGAAGACCAGAAGATCGGAAGACCAAAAAATCTTCACATTCAAGATCAGAAGATCCTCCTATAAAATACCAGAAGGTATTCTTTAAGTCTTCAAATGGTCTTAGAAGTCCAGATAGCATTGTCATATACTCTTGTAGAATACCAAAAGGATTTGTTATCAAAGATTACAAAGAAAAAATCTGTGTTAAAAAAGACCCGAAGGACTTCATATTGTAGATCAGTTGACACTTCTGAGGGGACGCCATGAATTACTTTATTTTCCTTTTTTACATTTTTGTATTTTATCGTTCTAAATGCTATCGATAAGTGTATCATTTACAATGGGTGTGTTTGTTGTATAATTCGGCTACAGAAGTTATCCAGATAGTCTTGTCATATATTCTTGTACAAGATTAGATATCTCTGATTTTTTTTTTTTTTTTTTTTTTTTGACTTACGTGTATCAAAACTAAAGCCCATTGTTGGATCGGGTGATGAGTGTAACATCGAAGTAACACCACCGCTACTTGTACTACTGCTGCCTACAACACCTGATGCATTGTTTGGTCCATTGCCACCAGCACCACCAACCACATTACTATTTGGTGTTTGTGGCTGTTGTTGCTGCTGGGTCATGGCCGCCATAGGATTTGTATTGTTCGTACCGTGCTGCATGGGTCCACCGCCTGCACCACCACCACCGCCTTGTGGTGTCTGTGGTCCTCCCAATGGACTTTGAGGTGTGGCAACACGCAGACCGCCGGGTATTCCAACGGCACCACCACCAGGATTACCACTACCACCACCGGGTACACCATTACCTCCACCAGAATTTGCCGCAGCAGCTGCACGACCACTAACCACAGCGCGCAATTCTTGCTTAACATAATCTGAAGAGGCGGGATTACCAGCTAAAAGGAAAAAAGAAAGCGATTTAAATTATTATTTTTTGAGGTTATATAGAACTATTAAACTATTTATATATAAGGATGTTTGCCTACATTAATTTTTGCTTACAATAATAATTAATTTTTATTATTTACACAGAGAGGGGAGCAGAAGACCAACACACAACAGTAACGGTATATTTATATATATATATATATTTTTTTTTTGGTTTGGATGTGGATTTTGGGGAATTTTCATTTTTGGTTATCACACTTGAGGATTTTCGAATTCGTTGGGTTACTCAAATATAGCATTTACAGGTTTCGGAGTTTCTTTTTTTTTTAATTGATTTCAGGTATTATTAGATTTTTTATGTGCTTTAATGTAGGTGTAAGTGTGTTATACATAAAATTGTTTATAATAAACATATACATATACATAATCATAAAAGGGGATCTGTATACAGCATCACATACAATTATTAAAGGGTTTCTGTATTAAAACTACATAACAGGAATGTTGCCTAGAATTTTTAGAAATTTTTCTATTATACAATTTTCGAATAAATGGCTTAAGAATTGGTCCTTCGAGCAGAGGGTTATTTAAAAACTTATTAGAATATTTACAATACTACTTTAGAGTTGAGAAGTGGCCATTATTTGCCAAAACAATTTAAAACAATTTGTCTATACAGATCAGCGATATATATTTAAGGCAAGGCGTATTAAAAAATGGCCATATGGGAAAAGGTTAGTTAGAAAATGACTTTATTTTGTATAAGAGGACTGTTTTTTTATATAAAAGGATGATATAGAATTTTCTAAATTTGAACGAGAAAATGAAAACAGATCCTACGTGAAGATAATTGCCTCCTATAAATCAAATAAACTTCAATAATACTGGGACCTTCTGAATGACCGGCGGAGGATTGCGTACTTTGTTAGAAGACAAAAATACTATTTCATACGAAGAAAAAAATATATATGTATCTTAAGGAAATCTAATTGGACTCTATCGACCTTGAAATAAAGCGTCAAATATTCTTTTATATAAAATGTTCAAATTATTTCCTATCAAATTGACTTCTTTTTAGGCGATCAAATTAGCATCTAATAGAGGATCAACAGAAATTCTAATGAGAACCTACACACAGAGTAATAAAACCGATAATTACACCATTCACAATGAGGTTGACATTGGAACTACCTAAAATCGATCGGAATTTGTTTATGCGGGATGGGCGGGTCATTTGTAGGATTAATTAATAACCAATGAGAACCTGAAATTAGAGCCAATTCGGGTTGAATAACCTGGTAAAATTCCCATAATACGAAAAATTCGAACGCATAATACGAAATATCAACTACTTCGGCTCAAAAACATATTAAAAAATCTCGAAATTTTGTAAGGTACCGTTATATGGGACCTACCTCGAAACTTAAGACCCTACTAATCAGTTTTGGTGCAGAGATTTTTATACTCAATGAGAATCCAAAAGACTACATTACTGCTATTTTAATTGAAAAACGTGACCAAAATACGGAGGGTACTGGTGGCTACCCTAAATAGTAGACCAAATATTGAAAAATGTCTGTCCAAATTAATGACATTTTGGAGGGGTACTGTTATGTGGATACTATTCTATAAAGTAGATCTATGAAAATTTTCTAGGCACTTAAATTCCAAAATACTGAATTACATTCAACTTTGTCGAAAATAATACCGAATATTGAGGAGTACTATTATTTGTGGGCTATACCACATGGACAGATAAATTCAAATTTTAAAGCTATATCTTAAATAATAAGTCTACCAAACTCAGAGACTGTTTCTTAAAGACGATAAGAAATGTTTGTTATAATTTTTTTCCTGTTAGTCTTCTTGGGAGCATGGGGAGGGCCATCACATAATCGCTTAGTCCCTGTGTTAATTTCCTAAATTTCCGTCCCGGGCGATGGGGCTACCATCTATGGTTATCTAGAAACAACGACATCTTTTGTTCAGTGGTTGGGGTCCCAGCTTGTCTGCTATCCACCGTTATTCATATTTTGTGTTGTCCTCAAGAGTTCATGTTAGTTATTTAAATGACAGGGGTGCTTTTGAAGGAGTAGGTGTTGTCCTCTTATCGATTAAAAGGGTGTAAATATCGTAACATATTACCCAGACTTGGAATATTAAAATTTAGAGTTCAGTGGTAGTTGTATATGGTATCCGTCCGACTATACTTCTCCGCATACTGGTTTTGTTCTAGTTAAGTAGTAGTAGATTGGGCTTTACACATGTCCTAGTTAAATAGACTGGCATCTATTATTGCCTAGAAATAATGACTTCTTTTTGCAGTGGTTGAGTCCATGAAGATCATCTAGTGTTGCCTAGAAACAACGAATTATTGTGTTCAGTGGTTCATGTCCTAGCTTAATTAGTGCTACCATTATCATCAGGGTGGCGCTACCACTTGGCATATTTTGTGTTATCCACAAGAGTTTGTGTGGGTTATTTAAATGCCCGGGGGCTTCTGATAGAGGATATAAACCTCTTTTTACAAATATTCGAAAACCACTTTGAAATAATGTCTCCTCCTCTGAGATTTGAATCCGGGATCACCTCAGGATATCACAACAACTTCTTTATAAAGAAAATCAAAAGACAAGACAAGCCTTTGTCAGAAGTCCAGAAATTGCATCAGTATAAAATTTTTATAGAAACTACTTATTAAAGGGTACCACAATAGGGTACCAGAAAATACTTTTCATAGAATACCAAATAAGTTTGAGAATGGTTGCCAACAGATGAGCAAAAAGAGAGATATTTACAGAAGTTTGGAAGGACTTATGGGCTTCATATTAAAGTAAGACGAGGAATATTAGATGACCACAAAGGGATAACCATAGAATATCAATAGAACTTCTTTATTAAGAAACCAAAAGACCAATTAGGGTAGTCCACCAGATCCATCTGTTTAAGTTTTTTATAAAGAGGACTTCAAGAAATTATTCTTAAAGAAGTATGGCTTTAGACCTTGGTACAATGTACAAATGGTCTCGGTGTAAAAGTAGAGGACAGGCAAGATTAGATGAGCAATAAAAAAGATATTCACAGAACCGATGGACTAATGGGCTTCTAAAGACTTTATTATGAAACATGTAAAACCGGAAGGACCGGAAGGATTTATTTTAAGATGAAAGGGAACTCCAATAAAGTCAAAATAGTTATTTAAAAATGGCCTTAGACCTTGCTACGAGGGTCTCCTAGTAAAAGCAGCTGACATATGATTGGTGGATGAATACCCTACAACCTTACCTAGACCTTGCTATATCAGAAGATTCTTCCAAATAGAATTTTGACAAATTACATGGCACATAAAAACTCCGACCAAAATTAACGTCAATTCCGCTTGTTTGTGTAATGGCTTATCGAAATCGAGGATAAGTCACTTAACTTTCCCTGCTTTTTATAATTTAAAATTATGTGATTCCAATTATTCTGGAGGGGTTGGGGAGGATATTTGTATACAGGTGTAATTTGTTTTTGGATTGAGGGTAAGAGAGCAATAATAATTGTGGTAATGAGTATTTGGTTTTTGTTGGGTGGTAATTACAAAAAAAGAAGTTACACACTGTTTGTACTCCTCTTACCGGTCGTCGGATTGGAGCGACCATAAAAATCATTTGTTGGTGGATTTGATGATGAGTTTTGTTGTTGTTGTGATATTGTTTGGCTGTTGTTAGTAGACGACGATGAATGATGATTATTAAACAATAAACTGCTACCATTGGCTCCTGCTACTCCCACTCCGCCTCCTCCTGTTCCACCACCAACATTGCCACTGCCACTGCCACCGTTACCACCACCTCCACCATTGGCCGTTATAAAACCATTCATATTACCATGGTTTACCGAAGTCGCTGACAAACCATTTAATAGACCAACAACAGCAGATCCCAAGGTGATATCATGACTGGCGGCAGCAGATGGGCCATTCGTATGTGTATGATGGGTATTATGATGTTGGGAATGATGACGTTGTTGTTGGTGCTGCTGCGGGTGGTTATGATGTTGATGGTGGGCATTGTGATGGTGATGATTATGGTGGTGGTGTTGTTGCTGCTGCTGCTGTTGTTGTTGTTGATGATGTTGGTGGTGGTGTTGTTGTGATTGTTGTCGATTGTTATTATTATTGCTGTTGTGACTATGATTGTTGTTGTTGCTGTTGTGGTGATTGCCATATGATCTTGGTGATCCTAAATTGATTTAGGGGTTTTTGTATTTCTTATGTATATTGAGATTTGTTTCATATATTTTTTGGTGGGGGTTAGGTGTTTGTTTTTTAAAGCATTAATAAGCTTGGGGTAATTATTAACTTATTATGGGGATTTGATTTTTTTTAATAAGATTTTAAAAATAGCTGTAATTTTTTCTCTTACTCCCCCAATATTTAATTTTCAATTACCTTCCATTAGGTTTGGATTATAAATTTTTAAAAATACATTCCTTCGATTTTAAAGCCCTTTTGAAATCATGGAATAAAAATCACAATGAGCAATTTTGAAGTTATGTATAACAATCGGATACAACATTATACGTGTAATCCTGTAATTGATGAGCTTTCAATTGGTGAACAAAATTTTACCGACATTTTGGAATAAACCATATTTTCTTTTCCTCTAAAAGCCTGATACAATTTTTCTCAAATTCCAATCTGTAAACTAAATTTACTTCAAACTATTTTGAATTCTCTTAGCTTACCTGGCAAATGTTGTGTTGCTTGCGGTATGCTACTTTGTCGTTGCATACGTTGCATTTGTTGTTGTTGCTGCTGACTTTGTTGTTGTTGGAATACATTGCCAGCGGCAAATGGTGATTGAGGTGATGGGGAATTTGGTGTTGGTGTAAAACTACTATCGTTCGTTTGAAATGAATTTTGACGCTGGAGACCAGCAGCAGCTGCTGCAGCAGCATTGGGACCCTGTGGGCCACCAATCAGACCAGGACCGGCAGGACCTTGAGGTCCAGAGCCGCTGGGTGAATTTAAGCCTCGTCCTCGTTGTTGTTGATATTGTCTAGCATTGTAAGGACTAACTCCCTGGAATTAGAAAAAAGAGAAAAGTGAGGTTATAGTTTGGTAAAAAATAAAAATTCTTTCAAACTCACCTGTAATTGTGCACTTAACATTGGATTATGTTGTTGCAGTGAATGTCCTCTTTGTGGCCCAGCATTAGGGCCTCCGCCCCATTGCTGCGGCGAGGAGTTTGGTCCCAATCCCGGTGAGGGTATACCAGCACTACCTGGGGTATTGGGTCCGCCGCCGCCAAAATGTGGTTGTCTGGGTGAGAGCTGAGCTGCCGGATTACCGGCCTGAAATGCAGCCATTTGTTGCTGCTGCTGTTGTTGTTGCTGGGGTGATAAACGTTGGCCGGCAGTTTGTGGGTATTGGGGTCCATAACCTAAAAAAAGTAACAATAACATTAAATTCAAAATTGAAATTGGATGGAACTTGTACATTTTGAACCCGTAAGAAAAGTTCAAAAAACTTAGCACACAAATAATTCTAGACTCAATTCAATACGCTATTCCAAATTACTTGCAAATCGAAAGAAATATCGGGACCTTGGTACACCATTTACATAAAATCGGACGAAAATATATATGAGAGCTATATCTAAATCTGAACCGATTTTTACAATGTGGAACACATCATTCTAGACTCAATTCAGTACGCTATGCCAAATTTCTTGTAAATCGAATGCAATATAGGGGCTTTAGTGCACCATTTACCGGATGGATAATTAGGAGCGACAGAGCGATATTGCATTGCAAAGAGACCTAATGGTATTTTGAGACCACAAGCCGTGATCTACAAAGGTTTCGACTGTATGAAATGGCATGGAATTTAAATATGAGAGTGAAAGGAAAGTGAGATAATGGAAATTAGCCTCAGAAGGACAGAATTGTTTTTCACGGTATAAATTGAAAGATCTGTACTTTACAGGCACGACGACACTAGAGGTGTTAGTATACTCTAGCCCAGAAAATGAATTTCCCGAATGACTGCTTAAAAGTCATGTCTAAACATAGGACTAGGAGAAATAATTCCTCCAAAACAAAAAATCAATATAACCCCTGGAGACCAGACATTGACCGACTTGGCCCTTAAGTAAACCCTTATGAAATTTAATTACTTCTAGTTGAAGACCATTTAAAATACAAGGTATTTCCAACGCCGCTCTCGAAGTAATAGAAGGGCCTAAGACGTATTTTAAAAATTCTGATGCTATTCAAATGAAAATTTACCCATTATATCAAATGGTAACTATCAAGCAACATACCTGGATTCGATTGTGGACTAAATGGTGCATTACGCTGACCCGGACTTAGCTGCTGCTGCAACATATTTTGGGCAAAATTCGGACTTAATTGCGAGTCGGGTGGCATATTTGTGCGTGATAATGTGACATTGGGTGCCACGGTATTGAGCAAGGTACTTATGTTGTTGAGACCAGGATTAAGACCTATAATAAAATAAAAAAAATAAATAAATTACTCCCTCTTTCAACTATCCTCCCCCATCTAGTTGACTTACACAACTGATCACGGGCTGTGGCATTTTCCGGTACACGCATCAACTGATTTTGTTGTTGCTGCAGCAAACGTTCCTTTTGCTGTTGCGCCAACAGCCGATCTTTTTGATGGGCTGCCATAAGCTGTTGCTGTTGCTGTTGGCCCAATTGTTGTTGTGTCAAGTTACGATAGTGTGATTGCGCCGATAATGCCGCCTGTGCCGACGCAGCATTCAGATGACCAACGCCGCCGGTACGTCCACCAGCTGGATAATTTGGTGGAGCTTTTTGCATATTTTGATTGGCTCGCAGATTGTGTAACGCTTGCATGCGCATCAGCTGATGAGGTGTTAAATTGCCAAGACCGCCGACGCCACCACCACCACTACCCATACCCGGATATGCTGGCGGTTGTAGTTGTGTATGATGTTGCTGCTGCTGTTGCAATTGCTGTTGATGCTGCTGTTGTTGTTGCTGCTGTAACATTTGTTGTGCCGTTTGAGCTGTCATAGATGACATGTTACCCATTCTAAATGCCGATGTCTCAACCATCAGCGATTTTTGTATTTCACTAATGGCCAACTGATCATTGATTTGTTGGGGTGTCAAACCTGTCGGCTGATCGTCCGGAACATAGTCCATGACACTGTCCAGTATTTTGGATAGTTCCTGATCACCATCACCCAATATAGCCGATGCGGCGGATGCGCTGAGAGAGGATGCGGAAGTGGAGGAGGAGGTACCCGTTGTTGCACTAGAATTTGAGGTAGCTGTTGTCGAAGGAGCTGTTGTGCTAAGAGGCGGAGTGGCAAACGGATGTTCTCCCGTTGTAGATGACGATGAGAAGTCCATTTGACTCCCCTGCTGCTGAGGATGAGATTGTGGTAGTCGTTGTAAATTCGAACCTACCGCCGAGGATTCCAGACCCTGCCGCTGCTGCTGCTGTTGTTGTTGCTGTTGATTGAGGTAGACATCGGAAGGCTGCTGTTGTTGTTGTTGCTGCTGCGGCGGTTTCTGCTGTTGTCCCATACCTCTTCCTCGTCCCGGACCACCTGGACCAATCATACTCCCGCTGCCACCACTATTGGCCATCGTTGTTATGGTCGAAGCTTTACCGGGCATCAGGCCCATTGTTGTACCACCGCCCATCGACGAGACAATATTGCCCGGCCCTCGGCTGGGCACCTTGTCGGGTATTGTTTTTATAACCGGTGTAATATTCATGGTAATATTCTTTGGCGGATTACTTAGCAGTCGGGCAAGCATTTTATTGCTTTCACACAATTTGGAGGGACGATCATCGGATCTCTTGGCCGACAGACCATCATCGGGATCGTTGAGGGAGCGTTTGCGTGTCATGGCCGGATCGCCTTGATGTTTCAAAATCCGACGCAATTCTTCGGTGGATATATTATTGGGATTTTGATGTGAGCCATGGGTTTCATCTTTAATGCGTACCAAATCGTTGGAACGGCCCATCGATGACATGCCTTTGTTGTTTTCATCGTCTTCGGATTTGAGTAGCTGTGTAAAAGTAAACAAAACACGCGTCGTGAAATACAATTACACGTTGAACAGATATTTGTTACCACTTACCGACAACAACATGGGATTACTGGAATTTGTTTGTTTCTGCATGCCAGACATGCCAAACATACGCTGCATATTGCCACCGGGACCTCCCGAACCAGGAGCCATTTTAAACATGCCACCTAGGCTGGCTTGCAAGCCCTCTTTGTCATCCTCCTGTTTGTAGAACTAAAAATAGAATAAAGAAACATATTATTACAGATGATCCGAACATAACCACACTTTCTTTCAAATTTGTATAAACGTACACTTCGAGGGTGCAGCTATACAAATTTGTAACACTACTTACTTCTTTTTTCCTTACCTTCAACAAATTATCTTTGTCGTCGCCATCGCTGCCATGCAAAGACGATGAATGCGTTTTATTGGTAAGTAAATGTCTCAAACGTTCCGATTCTGTGGGAGGATTTTGAGCTTGCTGTTGGGATTGTTGTTGTTGCTGCTGTTGGCCACCAGCCATTCCACCACCCATCATCATGGAATTTGGTCCACCCGCACCACCACCATTACCACCATTTGGCAAATTTCCTGACATACCACCACTCATGTTGTTGTTGTTGCCTCCGCTGCTACCACTATTGTTGTTGTTATTGTTATTCATAGGATCCTTATCCATTTTATCACTACTGCTATCAAAGGAATGAAAACCAAAATTGCCAAAAGGATTTCCACCACCAACGCCGCTGCTGTTACCTCCGCCGCCACCACCACCGACACCCGATTGACTTGCATTCGATTGTGGTGAGGGCAAACTTGCCGCCGAATGTGAAGATAATTGATACGGCGTCGAGGGCGATGGACAAATGGCTGGACTGAAGCCATGACCAGCCGATGGTGGCCGCGGTGTACTGACCGGTGTTGTCACGGAGGCCCGTGAATTCGGTCTCGAATCGTTCCAGGCCGTTACCGCATCCATATCGTAGGAATGTCTCATGTCATAATCAAAATCGTTGTAAAACGATGGGACTTCATGACCGGCCGGAGAGGCTGTAAACGAGTTAACTATCGATGAGGAGCTATTTGAGGCAATGCCCGAGGTAGTAGCTGTTGTGGAAGATGATCTTTGTGTAGGACCCAAACCACCGGCAATGTTATTTCCAGCATTGCCAACACCACCACTGCCGGTGCCATTAATTACGGCCGATGTCATTAGGGGACCACCCACACTTATTGTCTGTGTTGAATGCTGTTGTTGTTGTGATGGCACTCCACCACCACCGCCGCCTCCAACCAATCCACCCAAACCTGAGACATTTACCAAAGGCGATGATACCGAATTCGAATTCACTAATGAATCCATGGTTAAACTAGAGACCAATGATGACACCAACGAGGTGCCCGGTGACATGGCCGACATACCCGTTGTAAGCAGGCCCCCACCACCATTACCGCTCAGCATGCACGTGTTATTACTGTTCATATCACTCTCAGCATTCAGCAGGGTATGTACCGACATAATGAAATCACTCTCGCCCGGCGTATGATTGAGGAACAATCTGGAATTAGCCTTTACGTGAACATAGACATCAGGTGTGCCCAGACAAAGGCGAAACGGTTTCGATATATGATTTGATATGGGCGGGTTAATAGATACCACACTGCTGCCAGGCGATTGTGAGGCATTGATCGCATTTACACCGGCCGCTGAATTTTGTACATCGCACAGATGCGATTTTAAAGCTGATAAATCCTGAGGATGACACAGATCCTGCAGCAAACGTCCCACCCATTGCGTTAAATGCTTTTTGTAGGGTTCACGCAAGCTGGTCGCATCGAGGGTAATTATTTTGCCGTGGATATCCAGTTTAAAAGTGACCTGTTCAATGGTTGGATGTTGGACATGTTGTTGTATGTTCATTTCCAGGGGCGACTCATCCTCGGGTCGGGTAATTAAACATAAAACAGAAGAGGCAGAATCAGCTTCGTCTGCAAAAAAGAGACACACAAATGAAAATTATATTAAAACAATAATAGGAGGTTAGTACCCACCTTTTACTGGTGCCGCTATTAAAACAACTTCTTCATATTTAGATTTTTGGTCCATAGAATTACTACTATCAGTATTATTTGTGGTCGTTGTTGTTGTAGTTGTTGATGATGAGGATGAAGAACCTGAGGTTTGGGTTGCCGAACGTGTATCCTTGACTAACATACGGACTTTTGTCGAAATGCTACGTTTCGATTTACCTCCCATGCCACCACCTACGCTTCCTCCGCCTCCTCCGTTATGATCATCTGTATCACCCAAACCCCAACCTGAGTTTAGATCATGCATGCCACCAACACTGTTGGCGCCACCCGCATTACCACTCAAACCTCCTGCTGCTGCACCACCTGTATTACCACCACCTACATTATTTGTTGTCGTACTAAACGTTGATGACATATTATTTATAATGGGATCCAATTTGGCATGATCGCCCGCATGCAGGTACTGATACAAGGGTCTACGATATAACTCCTGTTTTTCATAACCAATTAATTCTTTGATGTTTTGAGTGCAGGACTCAATAATGCCTTCGGCATTCACTTGAAGCAGTACCCAACCAACGGAGGAGATATAATGTTCTAATGCTTCAAAATATGCTGATATTTCGGGTACTTGCCCATTTAGCAGTGATGGTTCAGGCAGTGGTGGTTCCGTAGATGATACTTCACCCTGTTGTACCGGATGTATGGAACAATTATCGGTGGCACAACGACTGCAACGTGTTGAGGTTGTTTGGTTGTTATTATTACTACTGTTGTTCTTGTTCGTACTAGTTGCATTGGCTGTTGGGTTCGATGAAGACGACGTTGTTGTGGCTGATGTTGCGTTAGCTGGTGTTGAGGAGGATATATCACGACTTTGGCCTTTGTCACAAATATCACGATACTGAAATGGGAAAAGGGGAAGAATATTAATACAAGTTAATATTAAAGGGTTATCATAATTCTAGTTTTATTGTATAGGTAGTAGGACAGGACCTCAAGTACTCCAATATGTATCCTACGATATTTATAGGGTATTGCCTCATGTCATAACCAAACTTTATTAACTATAAGAGGTAATGCATGAGATGGTAACTGCTGTTGTGGTAAATGATCATCGAGTAGGATCAAAACCACTGGCAATATTATTTTCGACAATATTATAATTAAGGCTTATGTTATTTGTCAAACTTCGAAAATGAATGGCTACGTTTAAGGTTGTTATTGATAAGAGGTCAACAAGATTTCTTTGTCAGCGCCCCAAGTGCGGCCGGCTAGCGACTTGAGGACCTTGTTTCTACTTCTCAGCTATTGTCATAAAACAGTGGCTTGCGCTGACGACTTGAAAAGGCTGTCGAACGTTACTCCCAGTATCTTGGGATAGTTAGTCGGGGTCGGAATCAGTTCTCCATCGACCCTTATTTTCAGTGGGAGCTTCATTTCAGCCGTCCTTGGGGTGAACAGTGTGTTTGTTGATTTTGTGGCGAATATTTTCATATTCCTCAGATGGAAGAAATTTACGAGAACAGCTAAAACACACTAGATGCCGATACCGGCATCAATAATGGGACCCGACGCCATGATCGTACTATCATCCGCATGTATTACGATCTCTATGCCGTCCGGTGGTTGTGGAATATCAGGAAGGTAGCAGTTAAACTGTTCCGGAGATATGACCCCTCCTTTGGGAACTCCTGTTTCACTCGACCGAACCTTTTTTAATTTGAATAGTGTTTGTATTATCAGGACTTCAAACGCTTTAAATTGCCTTGGCAAATTTTAGAAATCATGAGAAAATACAAGGGTCCCAACGGATCTTTGGAGGCACACATCTCCGGAAATACCAATTTACTCAAGAAAAAAGTATATCCTAGTAACCAGGAGCCCAAGGACCACATGTGGTAACATTTTCAAAACGATCCGCGCTGATACGTTTTTTTTTTCTTTTTTCTTTTAAGAACACTGAACATTTTCTATTGACGATCTAATGAAGGTCTTCTATTCGAAAAACCTGTTGAAATTTCTATTACAGAACACTTTTTAAGGTTTTCTTTTGAAGATTTTCTATCTATTGGCGATCTTTTAAAGATGAACTATATTCATAGAGTGCCCTCAATATTCATTAGACTCTCCATCGAGCAAATTCCTTAGAAGAGCGTGTGAAGAAAGTTCCCCATTCACTGAACTGTTATACCACACGTTTAAAGACGAATTGGCCAAAATGTAATTCCATTGCTACGTTATGTTTTATTATTTCCGTGTGTTTTATTCTATATGAAGAAAAATTTGAATTTTTTTCAATTTTTTTAAATGTAATGCATAACCCCCCTTGAGATAACGATTTGATCAAGGACTTTGATGTCCAATCAAAATCAAGCCTTGATATTTGACATCTAATTGGAGAAGACGACAGCACACAATTGTTATTAACAATTTTTCAGATTTTATCCAAATTACCTTAGCATTGAAAATAGAATATACAATGCGTGTAACTAGTTACTCAATCCCAACCCAATTTTTAACCCCGACGAACCACGAAGAAAATAAAAACAATTTGATTCTCGGCTCTTTTATATTTTCTTCACCTTCACCGATCGATTAAAATGTCATTTCTTTTGTTTTTATTTTAGTACTCATCCATCCTTCTTCCGCTGTTTTTACTTTCGCCGACAAGAAATACCAAGAAGTATCGTACACTTGCTTTGTTGTCGTTAATTCCAACTTGACGTTTAAAACTCACGCAAATGTTTTGTTGTTGTTTTTGTTGTTATTGTCGTTTTGTTATTACTTTTGTTATGAGCTCTGCTTTACAAAACTGTCCAGTTACTAGTTAAATGTATGTAGGTATGTATGTTGTTGGTGTTACTTGTTGGGTTTTGTTGTGTGTTGCTTGCTACCTTGTCTTCTTCGTTTTATTTTGATAATTTCATAATAAAACAAAATTGAAATTAAACAAAAAAACTGTCAAAATGAGGTAATTTCACAATTTATTAAGAAACACTGGAGTTTTTGAAGAGTACTAACATTAAATGAGAAAACAAACAAAGCAGAGAGAGTGAGTGAGAGTGAAAGATATATAGACAACAAAGCAACGCTCAACTCAGCACATTTTGTGTCTCTGAGAATAGTTAAATGTGATAAGTATTAATCATGAGGAGAGGAGGAGTAAAAAATATGCAAAACCGCCAAAAGACGCTACTTGCTGCTGCTGTCATTCATTCAGTTGGTAATTAGCTAAATAAGAAATTTTGTTATATATTTATTGCAATAAATAAAATAAATTGGCAAATGGTCTTCATTACAGGTGTAGTGGGTTGTAATGTGCAAGTAAATTCAATTCGAATTAAATGGAAAAACTTCAAGGAGAAAAACTAGAAGAGGAGTTCATTTGTCAGAAGTCAATGTGAAGAGTTTGTAAATAAAATATGTTGGGTACAGTGGGTGGCAGACATGTATTCCCAGACTTCGATAGCATCAAAGGTAAGCTAATAGAAAAAATCCTTAAGAATCCTCAAATATTGTGACAAATCAGCATTTTATATAACAACAAGTAAAACATCAAAATACCTCAGCCCATTGTGTAAAAACAATAGGACTGGGCTGCTACAACACCAAACAAGTTCAACTATTGGTTTGTTCCCGTACTGCAAAAAGTAAAAATTGTTATCCTAGTAAAAAATATGTACATTCTTGCAAGTTTTGGAATAGACCATATGTGATCCCTCTGTTAATTGGATATCGAAAATTTATATACCCATACTAAATGTATTTCCTGACTGCAAACACGTGTAAGTGAAGTACCACTTATTATCCCTTTTTAACAAAATCCTAACTATGTGATACTCTTTATCATGTTAGGTATTAAAAGTGATCTTCCCAGCCTGTATATTTACACCATAGCACAATGAATATTGTATATTTGATGACGACTATGTACACGTAAGTCGGATGGAAATTTAGTCATTTCTGGATAATAACCAAGGTAACGACAGAGGGTCTACGATCCGAAACGACCCGAGTCTTACTCGGGCAACGTCTGTCACCTCTGCCCAGTGTGTAAAAGCAATAGGGCTTGTCACAACAACAACATAAACAAATCGGACATTGTCAATTACATGAATACATATCGCTCATTTGCTGCAAGACAGGCATAACTAAAAAAACGATTTTGCAGAAAATACGTTTTAAGTTTTCAATTTACTCACACTTTATATGGGACCGAGGACATGTACAGCTTCTCAATTAGAGTGTGTAAGAGATATTCATATGAATTTTTTACACAACATGAGGTCTATTACAGCGAACAATCGTGCATCATTAACTCCAAAATCACGTTTTTTGAGTTATGCCTGTCTTGCAGCAAATGAGCGATATGTATTTTATGCTATTTATGATAACTCGTTCTACGGTTGGTACACAATTGTCTGATGCGACAGCCATTGTCTTAGTAAGATTTGGGTCGATTTATGGGTCAGAGTCATACCTAAATATTACCGAATTGTACTAAATGGACGCCATATTAGCTTCGATGGTATGTACTGTCTATAAAAATATATTAATAAAAAGTTTGAAAATAATTTCGAATTATATTTAGAGTACAATGCTAAAAAAACAAATGAATGTCCTTAGATGACTTGCAAGGATAGCATAAAAATCGGACATTGGCAATTATATAAACTCTTATGTATGGAGTTTTAAAATAGATCGGTACTTCTTGAACACTTTGGATATTTAGATGAAACTGTCTGTATATTAATCCCAAAATACTATTGAAACTTTGATGACCGCTAAATGCAAATCGGATAGGGAGTCATATCTAAATATGACAGAACTGTACAGCGTTTGCATTACCAAACCTCAATAGATTTTAGGTTAAGTACCAAGTAATAAAAACATTTATAAAATTTATAAATTTTTGGTACAATGCAACTACTAAAGAGAATGTTAAGATCGCTATAGATCCAGTATATTCTAAAATTCAATTTAATTAATATAGAAACCCAAATCTATGTGCCTGGTTTGAACCCTTTTCTTGGAGAAGTCTTTCCATGTAAGGGTTGCTCGGGTGTTCAATGGTTTGCCACAGGTTCTTAAAATATTAAGAATTTCGTTAAAATGTTGCAAGAAAAAGTTACTTCAATATGCAGATGTTTATGGATTTTAATGAACATGTTTTCTTTATAATTTGTTAAATACAGAGTGGCCCAAAAAAGACTGAAGGATTAAAAATGGTTATATCTTTTTTGTTTTTAATATATTTTTTTGTCTTTTGCAGGTTATTTAGTGGTTTTTGGAGATAAATCATGTGATGTGCAGAAACGCGTCAAAATCAATCAATTAATACAACTCAACGAAATTATCGTCGTCATTTTAATGTCCAAACAGCACCCAGTCACAACATGATTAGGAACTTAGTCTCCCGTTTTGAGAAAAATGGAAGAGTGTCAGATCTTCCAGGAAGAGGTCAATCTGTGCGCAATTAAGCAGTTGTAGAGGCTGTACGACAGAGTGTAAACGAATATCCATCTGTATCTACTCGTCGTCGTTGTACTCAATTTGGAATCAAATATTTTTATTATTCGTATGTTTATATCCTTCACCACACTGTGGTACAGGGTATTATGTCTTTCTGCATATGTTTGTAACAGAATTAGATATAGCTCCCATATATAGTTTCGTCCGATTGCATGTAAATTGTGCCCCAAAGTCCGTATATATCTTTTGATTTGCACGAAATTTGGCATAACGCACTGAATTAAGCCTAGAGTAATGTCCCTATATATTTAGATATAGCTCCCATATATAGTTTCGTCCGATTTCAGTCCCTATATATCTTTCGATTTGTACGAAATTTGGCATAACGTACTGAATTGAGCCTAGAATGATGTCTGCCAAGTTTCGAGA